TTCTCATCCGTTTATGACAAACGCTAAAATTTTCATAAAATACATGAATTTTGAAACACGCGACAGTTTCTAGAATTGATTTTTGTAGCATAGTTTGTGAAGTATGCGAGTTTTTTTTGAGTAAAAAAAAGGAAGGTTCAAACTCGCAGTTACAAATACTGGATTTTCAAGCCAGTATTATTAAATGAGAAGCATCATTTAAAACTTAAATTAAAGAGTAGAATACATACTATCTGGTGTGTAAATTTCAGCGTTATTGTTCGAATTGTTTAGGAGATAGAGCCTTGTGAATTTGGTTATTATTTTTAGAGCGTTGAGATTCCGAAATACAGGGGTTTCAGTTCAAGGTTCTTAGAGGACACATTTCTCATCCGTTGATGACAAACGATAATATTTTCATAAAACACATCATTTTTAAAACACATGGGAGGTTGTAGAATTGATTTTTGTTGCGTAGTATGTAAAATATGCGAGTTTCTTTTTTGAGTTAAAAACTGAATGTCGAAAATCGCTGTTACAAATATTGCATTTTCAAGCCAGTTATTATCAAAAGAGAAGCATCATTTAAAACTCTCATAAAAAAACTACATAAAATCTCGTGTGCGAGTTTCAGCGCTGTAGGTTGAGTAGTTGAGAATATAGAGCCATTTGAAATTGACTATTATTTTCAGAGTTTGCTACGGGCGAAAATACAAGGCTTTCTATTTAGGGTTACTATAGGCAACACTTCTCGTACATTTATGACAAATGACGACATTTTCTAAAACTACAAGAATTTAGAAACACATCCGTGTCTCTAGAATTATCTTATATAGTTCGTAAAATATGCTGGTTTAATTTGTGTTAAAAAATTAAAAACATTCGTCGATCCATCCATTGGTCGACGAAATTTTCCGTTTATCGACATGTCACAGATTTTTGTGAAAACCACGGACTTAGCACGAATTTTTATGGGAAATTCATTCGTGATATCCATTTTTCGGTTAGAAGCTTAGCTTTTATAAAATCGCAAAAGTATCGCCATAAACTGTCTAAGACGGCATCGATCAGGGCAGAAAGGCAGTATTTTAAAAGTGAAATCAGTCTAAACTGAAAACGATACAGAAGAAAACAATGTCTTTAAACACAATTACACCTGTCTAACACGGAATCGATCTGGACAAAAAGGCAGTTTCTTATAAGTTAAATCACTGTTCAGAAACCGATCTAAAAGAAAACAATGTCTTTAAACACAGTAAAGTTTGTCTGAGAATACATCGACGTTGACGCAAAGGAAGTTTTTAAATAGTGAAATCAGGCTGAGCAGAATCTATCTAGAAGAAAACAATGTCATGTCAATAATATGCCAAATAATAGTCATATAAGTTAATTCAAAATAGTAAAAATTGTCAAAATGATCAAAATATGCAAAACAGCTAAAAAGTTATATAACTCAGGATAGTAAAATCGACTTATTAGCGTCCTCGTGCAATCGACTTGGGCGGCTTCTTTCGATCGACTTATTGGGCCGGATCGCGTCATTTCATCGACTTATTGGGTCGATCCGTCATTTCATCGACTTATTTGGGCGGATCCGTCAGTTCATCGACTTATTGGGCGGATCCGTCATTTCATCGGACTTATTGGCGCGATCGTCAATTTCTCGCTTATTGGGCGGATCCGTCACTTCATCACTTTGGCGTTCGTATTATCGCTTATGGGCGGATCCGACCATTTCATCGACTTATTGGCGGATCCGACATTCATCGACTTGCTGGGCGGCATCCGTCATTTCATCGACTTGCTGGGCGCGATCCGACATTTCATCGACTTGCCGGGGCCCATCCCCCACTTGATCGACTTGCTGGACGATCCCCCACTTGAATCGACTTTACAGGCCCATCCCCACTTGATCGACTTGCAGGGCCATCCCCCACTTGATGCGACTTCTGAGACTCCTGAATGACTTGCGAGGTCCCCCACTTGATCGACTTGCTGGGCCATCCCCCACTTGATCGACTTTGCTGGCCCATCCCCCACTGATCGACTTGCTGGGACGTCGCCATTGCCTCGCCACCCGCTTGATCGACTTGCTGCCACCGTCGACTTGCTACATCCCCCACTTGATCGACTTGCTGGTCCTCCCACTTGCGACTGCTTGCCCCACTTGATCGACTTGCTGGCCCATCCCCGCACTTGCTCAGCTTCGGCACCCGATGGACTTGCTGGCCTCCCTGACGACGTGCCATCCCCCACGTTGATTCGACTTGCTGGGCCCATCCCCCACTTGATCGACTTGCTGGGCCATCCCCACTTGATCGACTTCGCTGGCCCATCCCCACTTGATGCGACTTGCTGGCCCATCCCACACTGATCGACTTGTGGGCATCCTCCCACTTGGATCCGACTTGCTGGGCCCCATCCCCCATTTATCGACTTGCTGGCCATCCCCCACTTTATCGACTTGCTGGGGCCCATCCCCCCTTTATGCGACTTGCTGGGCCATCCCCACTTTATCGACCTTGCTGGCCCATCCCCCACTTTAATCGACATTGCTGGGCCATCCCCCACTTTATCGACTGCTTGGCCATCCCCCACTTGATCGCACTTGCTGGGCCCAATCGCCCACTTGAAATCGACCATTGCTTGGGGCCATCCCCCACTTGATCGACTTGCTGGCCCATCCCCACTTGATCGACTTTTGCTGGGCCCCATCCCCACTTGATCGACTTGCTGGGCCCATCCCCCACTTTTATCGACTTTGCTGGGCCCATCCCCGACTTTATCGACTTGCTGGGCCCATCCCCCCACTTCTTATCGACTTGCTGGGCCCATCCTCCCACTTTATCGACCTTGCTGGGCCATCCCCCACTTTATCGACTTTGCTGGGCCCATCCCCCACTTGATCGAACTTGCTGGGCCATCCCCACTTGATGCGACTTGCTTGGGCCCATCCCGCCACTTGATCGACTTGCTGGACGATCCCCCATTTGATCGACTTGCTGGAACGATCCCCACTTGATCGCTTGCTTTGAAAGATCCCGCCACTGAAAATCGAACTTGCTGGGACGATCCCCACTTTTATCGACTTGCTGGGACGATCCCCCACTTGATCGACCTTGCTGGGACCCATCCCCCACTTGATCGACTTGCTGGGAACATCCCCCACTTGATCGACTTGGGCTGGCCAATCCCCCACTTGATGACATTGCTGGAACCATCCCCCACTTGATCGACTTGCTGGACCATCCCCCACTTTGATCGACTTGCTGGACGCACCCCACTTGATCGACTTTGCTGGGACCATCCCCCCTTGGATGCGACTTGCTGGGACCATCCCCTCACTTGATCGACTTGCTGGACCATCCCCCACTTGATCGACTTTGCTGGACAATCCCCACTTGATCCGACTTGCTGGGAACGCATCCCCCACTTGATCGACTGCTGGACCATCCCCACTTGGATCGACTTGCTGGGACCATCCCCCCACTTGATCGACTTGCTGGGCTCCATCCCCAACTTGATCGACTTGCTGGGCCCATCCCCCCCCTTGATCGACTTGCTGGCCCATCCCCACTTGATCGACTTGCCTGTGGCCATCCTCCCCCTTGATCGACTTGCTGGGCCCATCCCCCACTTGGATCGACTTTTTGCTGGGCCCATCCCCCACTTGATCGACTTGCTGGGCCGCATTCCCCACACTTGATCGACTTGCTGGGCCCATCCCCATTGGAATCGACTTGCTGGGCCCATCCCCCACTTGATCGACTTGGCCTGGGCCATTCCCCCACTTGATCGATTGCTGGGCCCATCCCCCACTTGATCGACTTTGCTGGCCATCCCCACTTGATCGACTTGCCTGGCCCATCCCCACCTTGATGCGGACTTGCTGGCCCATCCCCAGCTTGATCGACTTGCTGGGCGCCATCCCGCACTTGATCGACTTGCTGGGCCATCCCCACTTGAAATCGACTTGCTGGGCCATCCCCCACTTGATCGACTTGCTGGGCCATCCCCCACTTGATCGACTTGCTGGGCCCATCCCCCACTTGATCGACTTGCTGGGCCCATCCCCCCACTTGATCGATCTTGCTGGGCCCATTTCCCCCACTTGATCGGACTTGCTGGGTCCCATCCCCCACTTGATCGACTTGCTGGCGCCATCCCCACTTGATCGACTTGCTGGCCATCCCCCCTTGATCGACTTGCTGGGCCCATCCCCACTTGATCGACTTGCTGGGCCCATGCCCCCACTTGATCGACTTGCTGGGCCCATCCCCACTTGAATCGACTTCTGGCCCCATCCCAGCCACTTGAT